GAAACTCCGTCTCAAAAAAAAAAAAAAAAAAGAAAAGAAAGAAAAAACAGACGCACCGAAGGGTGGGGCAGGTCCCTAGGAGGCTCCGGGCGGATTTCAGTAACCAAGACTGCATCTCTTTCTGCGGGTATCATTTCCTCCTAGACTTCTGCCCTTTGGGGCTTTCAGATTCTCCCCTGCAAGAGCTGAAGAGGCCATTTTTGGGGAAGAGGGGTGACTGCAGCTTGTTGATTGGTTTACTGTGCTAACTTCCACTGGGCTTCTGCAATGCCGTGGAGCTGCTTGCCACCTGCTCCCCTGGGGCTGACCAGGTAGTCCCCGCTGCCCGCCAGCATCAGGTCCTTTACTTGGCAGGCGGAGCGATTTTTCACTGTCAAGTTGGACCGGGTGGTACCGAACTCATGAAATACTGATCGCCTGGCTGCTTCCTAGGAACACAGAACCAGGATCTATAAGGGAGCCGCCTGGAAATCTGTGTTATTAAGGAAAGTGTCAGATGATTCATAAAACCCAGCAAGTTTGAGAAACTTGGACTGTAAGTACAAGTCCAAACCCTTTAGTCTGTGCTCAAATGAATTATCCTGACATGGATTTCTGGCCACCAAGCATTGAGTTAACAAGTTTAATGCTGTCTGGGCTAGTTGTATCTGCAAGTTACATCTGAGTGCAGCGCTGCAGACCTAACCCCTTTTTGCCCAGGCATTTGATGCCACCTACCTTCTCTCTGATCATTTTTGTTTTGTGTGCTTTTCATTGTCTTTTACAATACAATGCTTGGGGGCCAGGCGCCTTGGCTCACTCCTGTAATCCCAGCACTTCGGAAGGTTGGAGTGGGAGGATCATTTGAGGCCAGGAGTTCAAGACCAGCCAAGCAAAATAACTAAATAAATAAAAAAGAAATGAGATCCCACCTCTGTTAAAAATAAAAATAAAAAAAAAAAATCAGGCATTGTAGTGTGTGCCTGTAGTCCTGTCTACCTGGGAGGCTGAGGGAGGAGGATCACTTGAATCCAGGACTTGTAGGCTGCAGTGAGCTATGATCGTGCCACTGCACCCCAGCTTGCACAACCTGAAACAGAGCCAGACCCTGTTTCAAAAAATATCTATCTATCTATATACATATAGTTCTTAAGAACCTACGACCATCTGGACGAGGATGCATCTGGCCAGACCAGACATTTTTATATAAAAGATTCAAGATCTGGAAAATAACATACATAGCACGTAAATTGTAAAGTATAATAAATACTCATGAACTACATCACCAGGCTGGGCATGGTGGCTGATGCCTGTAATCCAGCACTTAGGGAGGCCAAGGTGAGGGGATCACTGGAACCCGGGAGTTCAAGACCAGTCTGGGCAACATAGTGAGACTCAGTCCCTACCAAAAAAAAAAAAAGCAGACATGGTGGCAGCACCTATAATCCCAGCTACTGGTGGGATTTTGGGGATAAGAGGGGGAAAGTTCTCTTGAGGCCAGAAGTTCAAGGCTGCAGTGAGCCATGATCATACCACTGCACTCCAGCTTGGGCAACAGAACAAGATCCTGTCTCTAAAACAAACAGAAAACTAGTATAGATCGTTTGCTTTTTAAAATCTAATCGAATGTTTTTTTCTTTTTTCTTTTTTGGCGATGGAGTGCCAGCTGACTGCCACCTCTGCCTCCCTGGTTCAAGCTATTCCCTTGCCTCAGCCTCCTGAGGAGCTGAAACTACAGGCACCCACCACCGTGCCCAGCAAATTTTTGTATTTTTAGTAGAGACAGGTTTTCACCATATTGGCCTTGCTGGTTTCAAATTCCTGACCTTGTGATCCACCAGCGTTAGCGGGATTACAGGCATGAGCC